CCTCACCAAATCCAATGTGCTTGGGGAGACACTGTGCTCATGTGGGTTTTCGTGTTTTTTCAGAGGGCTCTTGGAGGTGGGTGAGGCTGAAACCAAACGGAACACCTTTGGCTCATTTTTGGGGTCCCCCCAAACAGAGCACAGACCCTTGTCTTTGCCTGCGATCCATGGCAACGATTCCTTTGCTCGATCTCCCCAACAATGAAACCAGAATTTCGCGGCCGAAAGAAACGATCGAAACGCAAGTTGAAGGCTTCCAAGGCCTCGATTTCTTGCCGCGCACTCCACGGAAGGAGCCCAGAAGATCCCTCCCTTCCAAATTCGCAGCTCTCGGTGTTGATGATTTAAGTGTTCTCTTCCGCAGCTCTCTGTTTCTTTTGCTTGGGCCCAAAAAAACAAGAGTCATTTGATCTTTTTGCTTGTTTTGGGGTTCTGCAACGATCTTGGCAACAAAACCCCTACATGGCAAACATGCTTACTCAAAGCCCCCTGAACACCTTAGAAAGGATTATTGGAAGCACCTTTCCTGAGTGCCCGGTTTCAGACCGGGGGAACGTTGGCTGGCCTTGCTGATGCCTTTACGGGTTTTGCGTGATTTTTGTGCCGGGATCCTTGGCTTGAAAACATGTCCCAAACTTTTGTAGCAAAGGAACAGGAACATAATTTCAGTGGGAAGAGAACCAGGAGTACAAGGGAATTCTCTAAAGGACAAAGGCGCTCTTAATGGAGCAATCTAAAGCTTGCCAGAAGCCACGAACCCGAACGCAGATTATGGCCTGTCTATTTGTGTATGTCCCTGCTTGTCCATGTACCTTCCTATTGACATTGATTTGTCTATCTATCCATCTACCTATTCATTGATGCACCTACCCGTACATCGATTTATCTATCTTTGAGCTGAGGCTGGACACATGCAGAGGCTACGTGTCTATCTGCTAGTCTGTCTGCCTATCTATCCCTCTGTTTATCTTTGTACTTATGCGCTCGCTCTACCTGCCACTCGTTCTATCTATCGGTCTATACAGTCATCTATCTAATCTATCTTTCTACTAGTCTCCCTACCGTTCGTGCTTTCTTCCTTTCTTTCTTTCGTTCTTTCTTTCTTTCTTTCTTTCTTTCTTTCTTTTTTTCTTTCTGTCCTTCTGGTATTTCACTTTTCTTTTCTATTATTTTTTCATTTTTTTAGTTTGTTTTTCTTTTTTTGTCTTTTCTTTCTTTCTTGCTTGCTTGCGTTCGTTCTTTGTTTCCTCTGGCTTATATTTTCCTAAGCACATCTATCCATTGTCTATATATATATATACATATTTCATCTTTGTGTGTTTATACCAACAAGTCTTCGGGGACCCTCGCCTAACCCCAGGATCCGGGAGCAGATCTGCGCTTTGGGTGTGGACTTGGTGGGTTTCCTGCAGGACCTCGGCTTCGAAGGCGGGGCGCGCTTTGGTGCCAGACCTTGTCGAGCCCACGAAGATGGGCCCCAAATTGGATGGCCAGGACGAGTAAGGCCTTTGCGATTTCGCCACCCCTAGGACTCCCCTCCCGCTTTTCGCAAGGAAGCTGGGGCTTGGCAGGGAGCGGTTTCAGAGAAAAGCTCTCGTTTAACATGATGGGGGTTCCCTTATGGGAGGAAAGTTAGAAATCATCCATATCGTTCTGGTTTGTTTGAGGAAGTTAAGAGGGCGACCTAGGGGAAAAGCAACAATTGGACCATGGCTATGGATCGCAACACGTGTTGATCAAATGCTGTTGGGGACCTCAAAACAACAGGCTTCTCTTGGGTTTCCCTTTCGAGCAATTCCAAAGACGGTTCCCTCAAACAAGACGCGAAGGCTACCTGTTCTCAGCGCACGGGTTCGCCACTGTCTCGCCACGGGTTCGGAAAGTTGCCCGCTAGCACGGCAGCGCATGCGCTGCATCGGCGTGCTTCGCCCCATGAACCCTCTGCGGGAATCGTAAAGCGCTCGATGAATCCTCTGCGGGGATCGTGCGGCACTCCCGCAACTCCGGCTCGAAAGTCGCAACTTTTAAGCAAGGAAGTAGTATGCGAAGTGCACTCTCGCAGCTCCGGATCGAAAGTCACAAAAAGTTTTTAAGTACCAAACTAGTGCGCGAAGTGCACTCCTGTAGCTCCGGCTCGAAAGCCGCAACTCTTTGTGTACGAAAGTGTTGCACCAAGTACACTCCTGCAGCTCCGGCTTGAAAGTCGCAACTTTTTAAGCACCAAACTAGTGCGGAAGTACACTCCTGTAGCTCTAGCTCGAAAGCCGCAACTCTTTATGCACGAAAGTAGTGCACGAAGTACACTTGAAAGTCGCAACATTTGAGTACGGAAGTAGCGCGCGAAGCACGCTCCCGCACCCTTTAGTACCAGGTTTCGACTGTGACCCACTTGAGCTGGAACAAGAACCCCTACAAGCTCCATTTGGCTCCACCTGAAACCACCAACAAAGCGTCCCAAGCATTTTTTTGAACAGCCGCATCCTAAATCAAACTATCGCCATAGGCCCTTTTTTTCCACCAAAGAACAATCAACACAATGTGCCGGGCAAATGCTACACCATGGGCTAATAGGACCCCATGATCAACCCCCTGGTTGATCAACAAGGATTTGTCCATTTCGGAGAGAGCCCGGATCACTTTTGGGGGACCCCTCAACACCAGTTTCGTTCCAGACGACCTCGAGACGGCGCCGCGCGGAGGCGGGGGTTTCTGTCGCGGAGGGTTCCGAGCTGGTGGCCCTGTTGTCTGGTTTTTGGGTTCCTTGGTATCTTCTTCTTGTCTTGGAGCAAATGGTGGACAGCATGCTCTCTTGTTGTTGGACAAAACGGCGGACAAGATGTGTCTTGGTCAGGGCAAAGTGGTGGCCAACCTTGGTTCCAGCCAGTTTTGACACATGGGTGTATGGAGCAACAAAAACGCCCCCCCCCCCCTGCCCCAAGAAAAAACAGAAAGACGTCATCTGGGTGTGTTGTTTAGCGGGATCCCCCAAAGCGTTTTTCCCCTTGACGCCACCCACAAAGGGGTACCCTCAAGCAAGACACACTCATCATTGATGGCTGTCAAAGAATGACCTGTCTGTGACAGGGTAGGGCCACCTTATCCCTTCATTGGTGTCACATAAATTGGCACTACCCCCACAAAAAAGAGAGGAACAAAAACCGCACATCCCCTGAGAGGAACGCCCGTGGTACCCTCGAATAGGCCTTGTGCAGTGTGCCCATGTTATTTGGAGTAAACCAACCTGAACAAGGGTATTCTCAAGCGGACGCGCATTTTGCCCCCAAATTGCATCCCCAAAAAGAGACGGACTTCTTGCCAGGAGCAAAGAAGCGCCGGAAGACGCGCGGGTGACACTCAAATCCCGCGTCTGTTCCAGGGTACCCTATTTGGCTGCTTTTCAAAAAAGGGGGTTCGGTACGGGGGCCATGAAAATGGTTGGTATCCTTTTGGTTTCCCTTTATACCAAGCAACAGTGGCCACACATTGCTTGCCTTTTGGTTTCCTTTTTGAATACCAACCCAAAGTGGGTCCAGGCCACATAAAATGGTTGGTGTCCTATTGCTTTGGGTCTTTGAGCCTGCCTGCCATTTCTCCACGCATAAACATGGAAACCCCAACGCAACACGGTTTTAGAGGAGGTTTGCTTTTAAGGGACCCGTTTTTTGAGTTCTAGTTCCATGTGAATTTGTATGGGACAGCATGGGTTTCTCAGGAGGGCAGGCCCCCAATCTTGCCCCAGAAAACGTTCATTTGCTGAATGGTTTGGTTTGGTATGGGTTTGGTACAATGCTTCCGTTTTGGTTTCCCCCAACCCCATCTAAAGAGGGGTACCCCGTCCAGGACTAACAAGTAAACCAAACTGCCACTGAGGCGCACCCATTCGTCACATTTCCGGCAAGCACGGAATGCTTGCAGATATGCAGGCTGCTGGGTGTCAGCCGTGCTCGTGACCACGGTTTGGAATGCACTACGGTGTGTGTTTTTCTGTGTTTGGGTGAGCTGCTGAGGGCTATGTGTGTCTGCACCTTGGACCAATGCTGTTTGAAGCAGGTTGGACCTTTGGTTGCTTTGCAAGCAATTCTTGGCACCTCGCTGAAACCGGAGTCCCGCCTTTGGATCACTGGATGGGGGTCCATCCGAATTCGGAGCTCGGGTTGCGTGCAAAAGTGCTGATGTCGACCCCGATTAACAACTCCCAACCGATTGTGCTTTTGGGGTCTTTTAGTGTTATATTTTCTTCAGGGAACCGGGTCCCGTGATCTTTTTTTTATGGGGATGATTATTTGGGGGCCAACCCGCTGGATGCTTCTGTTCAGCCTACCAGCTCACGCATGCAGGTCCCTTGGGGATGGCGAGCAAATCTGGCTTGTGAGTTGTGGTTTGTATAGGACAAAGTGAGAGGCAGGGCTCCTTATGCCATTTTCTAGGTGCCAAAGTTCTAGTTGTCCTTTTGGTTTCTCTTCAAATCCACCAAACAGGGGTACCCTCAAAAAAAGCAGTCAGACACAACCAGCGAACGAAAAGGCTCAACGATTGGCCTCTAGAGCTGTTTGAACAACAGGGAAGTAGGACTCCTGACTGGGCCGGCGGCTTGCGCATGGCAAGACCTGGGTGGGTTTGTTTTCGGCTCGGAACACGAAAGTGAGGGGTTTCGGTTAGGGAAGCCGAAAGGAAACCACAGGGAGAAAGCATACCTCTAGTTTTTGTTGTGACATACCTAAACTGATTTGAAGCTGTCTTTTGCCATTCTTCGAAGGCACTTGAGATCGCTCTTTGGCTCAGAGCAACGCAACGCGTGATCAAAGCGGGTCTCGTTTCATTCGGGGCTGCCCTGGTTTTGTGTTCCTTGTTTGAATGTTGCCATCCTTTCAGTGGTTGTGACCCAACTCTCTCAGATTGGGAAAATGAGGTGATCATCTGAATGGAAGTGATAAACATTTACCAGCTTGATACTTCCAGATCACACAAACGCAACACCTCCTCAGCACCAAACACAGAGACATCAAAACGCGCAGCGCTGCACGGGGCGTTCGCGAGCACGCCTCGCATGGTCTGAGCCGCAGGTGCGAAGCCACGTGAGCACCTGAAAAAATGATCGGTACACCCAAATTTCTCCACAAACCCGGGCCACCCAAATTTCCAACGCCCTCTTAGAAGAACAAGGTATTGTTTGCGGGCCTGCCCGCGTGATGCTTTGCATTTTGCGCAGCCGGGAATGGTAAGACTTGAGTCAGGTGAACTGATTGGTGCAGGCCTAGAGTTCTGTTCGATGGGCAACATGTGACCCACAAGCCTGATCAGTGGTCCTTTCTTTTGGGTGTTGTAGGCAGGGTAACAGCTAAGTCTTAGCAGCAAAGTCCCAAAGAATATCTTCCCACTCAGCATGAAAGAGAGGGTTAGTGCTCAAAGGCTTAAAGGAAGATGGCCTGGGCGGCATGTATAGCGCCGGGATTCCATGTCAAAAGGGAAGGTGGCTAGTATTAAGCGTCCTAGAAGTATGGACTCTGTCCACCAACCCACGACCACAAAGTCGCGGCTCGATCGAGACCCAAATGAGATTGAAATCTGGAACAACCGGCAGTTGGAAGCCGGTTGTAAGTGTATGAGTATACACATTTATGTATATATTGACGACACACAAATAGTACACATATATATATATATATGGTACCCCCCCAAAGAAAAACAATATATAAAATATATCAGAAGCACAAACACCACGCCTGAAGATAATTTGATGGTAATTGCAGTACTTTTGGGTGATTTCCACCCCCTTTTCAGGCACCCCAATTTTGACCCAATTTTGACAATCCAACTATGCCCGCATCTGCACATTTGACTGCATCTCTATCCACCTAAAGCGCTTTAAAGCGCTTTGAAGCACTTTTGGATTCAATATTCAAGATTCGAGATTCCCAGGACTCTGGATCTCGAATCTTGAATCCTGCCTGGGGCCCCTAAAGCGCTTTAAAGCATTTAAAGCGTTTTCATTCTCGTGCATTCAAGATTGGGGCCCCTATCCCAGGACTCTTGTTCTTGAATCGATGAGCTACCTGGATGTAAGCGCTTTAAAGCAGTTTGCGGGCCCCACACTGGATTCAACATACAAGATCTAGAGTGATGGGAATCTAGAATCTTGAATCTTAGATCCAAAAGTGCTTTAAACCGCTTTGGTGCATTTTGGAGGCCCAGTACTGGATTCAAGATTCAAGATCTAGAGTCCTGGGAATCTTCAATCTTATTTTTTAGATCTAAGAGTGTTTTAAAGCGCTTTAAAGCGTTTTGCGGGCCCCATACTGGGCTCAAGATTCAAGAGCCATAGTCCTGGGAATCTTGCATGTTAGATCCGAAAGGGCTTCAAAGTGCCGAAAAGCGTCTGCTTTCAGTCATTCCTGTTTGGTTGTGCAGCTTATCATTCTTTTGGAAGTGTGTGGAGTGAATGCAGTTGATGGTTCAGCATATGGACATTGGATGATGAAGTTGATAGAAATGATTCAAATAAATCCACGCCAACCCTTGGATGTTGACAATGCCATTGTAAATACCAGTGTGTTGCATGCGTCTAAGTAGGTTTTGTGCAGCACAGATTTCGTTCAGGGAAATTAGTCGTTTCAGCGGACAGCGTGGCAGTGGTCAAGGCATATAAGATGTGAGCAGATGATTGTTGTTGGTATTGGCCAAGATTCGTGAGCTGACAGACAAAGGGAATTTGCAGATGAGATGAGATGAGGCCTTGTAAGTTGATTGACGAAGAGGGTTTGCACATCCATTGAAATGAGAGTTCGAAGATGCGTAGGCGAAGCAGAAGAGGCACTGTGTGCTGTGTTGTTGATACCCTTGCGTCGGTACTCTCATAGAGATGTTTTACAGTCAATTCAACGAGGATGACATGAGTGATGAAGACTATGAAAAAGCAGAACGGGTATGGACAAGTTCTGACAGTAAAACATGAGAGAACAGCACGATTTCTGTGCAAGCAAATGCTTATTATTGACAGACATTTTCAATAACTTCAGAGATGTATGTATGACAAATTCTGGCTTAGCCCCTGTGCATTATGACGCTTTACCTAACTTTGATTTTACACCGTCCCTAACTTTGCTTCTGATGCTATGTTCAAATTAACTTGCGTTGAAATAAATTGAGTTTATGACCAGGAGATGTATGAAACGCTTGATCAATAATCTAAAGGAGGAAACCACACACATGCTTCAGAAAGTAGACGCAAATACAATTCAAATGGGTGGCAAAAAGAGTTAATGAATAATCTGCACAAGTCTGCCAACATTGGAAAATGATCCCACTTCTGGTAACATCCATCTAACATGACTTGTTTTCCCTTACATACGCAGCAGGCGCCCTTTTTTTTTTGGGGGGGGGGGGTGCGTATATATATATATATATATGTATATGTATACTGACATAAACATAGATATATATATATATATACATACATGTTTTTTGAGGGTGCCCTTTTCGGGTTGGTTTAAAGGGAAACTCAGGAAACACTGCTATACTGTTGAGGTCCCCGTAGGGAATTGGGGAGGGGGTTTCGGCCCTGGAGCTGCATTTTTGGAGGCGATTTTCTCGTTCAGCAGACGCATAAGTTGACCCTTATTTCGCCCCCCCCCCCCCCCTTCCCATGAAGGAAGAAACATCTGCACATCTGAACTTTCCTGGAAAGCCACCAAACTCCCGAGAAACGGACGCTTGTTGAATCTGAAAAGAAGGGGGAGGACTCTAGCAGACTTTGGAATTTGACAGGCGCAGCTTCATTTAGGTGTCCTTTTTAGAGCAGAGAGAGCGGCCCTTGCCTGCATGGGACCTGTGTTTTTGAAATCAGCATTTTTTACACCTTGGCGTATGTGGATGCACCTTTCTTGCACATGCGGTCTTTGGTGATTTTTGGAGAAGGCCACCCACTGCAGGCATCTTTCCTCTCCCTGCTTTCTTGCAATCAGTGTTCTCCAAGGATTCCCTTGCTATTCCCTTAGTATCCCCCTAAAAGATCCTCGGAACTCCACCAGTATTCCCCTAATTAGCACCCTCCTAGTAATTCTGTCCCTAGCATTACCCCAGTGTGCCTTTGTTATTTTCTTAGAACACCCTTAATATTCGCTCAGTATTCCCCTAATGTTCCCCAATCATTTTCTTGGTAGTTCACTAGCATTCTCCTGGTAATCTGTGTTCTTCCAGTAGTCCTCTGTCATGCTCGGTATTCCCAAAAAGTTCCTTTAGTTCTCTCTTGTTATACCCTCTAGTATCTCCTCAGTGTTTTCCTAGTAACTGTTCCCAATCCCCTTTTGTTTCTCGAGTCTTACTATACCCCTAGTATTCCCCTTATCATTCCCTGATACTCCCCGAATATGCCACGCATATTGCCTCATAATCTTCTCTGTATTCTCCTGGTATTCCCCTAACTCCTTTTGTATTTTCTTGTATACCCCAAATCTTCTCTCAGTGTTCAAGTGTTCCCCAAATATTCCTTCAATCTTCCCCTTAGCAGCTTCTTGGTAATTCCCTACCAGAACCCCCTGCATTCCCCTCACTATTCCCCTACTACTCTAGTATTCTCTTGGTGTACCCTCTAGTATTTCCTTAGTGTTTTCCGAGATTCCCTTAACATTCCTCAAGTAGTCTGTATTCTCCTAGCATTTTCATAGTATTCACTAGTGTTCCCTTAATATTCCCCTAGCACTCCCCTACCTATTCCTCGAATAGGCCCCTATTCCTGTAGAACTATTTTACCCCTAGAGTTGTATCTAGTATTCCCCTAATAGTATTTCTTTGGCAATCCCCCTAATATTGTTCAGTATTCCTTAGTATTTTCTGGGTATGCCCCTAGTATTCTCCAAATATTCCCGTAGTATTGCCCCAGCATTCCCCATTGTACTTCCCCTGGTATCCTGCATCTGCGCTCCAGTTTCTGAGTAGTAAAGAATTAGGGAAACACCGAGGGGATAATAAGGGAATACCAGGGGAATAACAAGAGGAAATACTAGGAGAATACTAGGGGAATACTGGGAGATAATACTACAAATAAACTGAGCAAATACTAAGGAATGCTGGGGTTACTAGGGGAATATTGGGAGAATGCTGGGGTATTCCAAGAAAATACTAAGGAATACTAGGGCAATATTAGGGGAATACTAGAAGAATACAACTACTAGGGGTGAGATAATGCTAAAGGAATAGAGAATACTAAGGGGAATGCTAGGGGAATATTAAGGGAATACTAAGGAAGTATTGTGAATATTAGGAACATACTAGGGGAATATTGAGGAATATTCAAGAAGTACTGGGGAGTGCTGAGAGAACACCAGGGGCAAGATAATATTAAAGGAATATGGCAAGATTTGGGGAATATTAAAGGAACAATGATGACTCTGCAGGGAATTCTCAGGGAATAGTAAGGGAATGCTATATAATGGAGCACTGACAGAACACAAAAGAAGTACTCGGAAAACACTGAGGGGACAATGCGGGAAGTGCAAAAACCTCGAGAAACCGGAAAAAGAAAGAAAACAAAAACAACTAAAAAAAACAAAAAAAACAATCCCCCGAACAAAACCTTGGAGGTACTGGTCATTTCCCCCAAGGGATTGTTTTTTTGGTTTTCTCGAGGTTTTTGTGTGTTTGTTGGTTTTCTCGAGGTTTGGGTCACATGTCCTTTGTACTGGTGCGTGTTGTTCTGAGTTTTTCTGGTATTTCGCAAACGCAGGCCCCATGGCGGGCCCTTCTTTTAGAGCGTACCCCTTTTGTGTAGGTTTAACGAGAATGCAAAAGGAAAACAACATGTTTTGGGGGGATCCCTTCAAACACACGCATTTCCTTCCAATCTAGGAGAACATTTGCTCATTGCCAGGTGGGTCTCCCATGCATGGCCCGCCATTGCCGCAGGCGGGATGCTCCGAGTCCCCAAAAGATGCGCAAGCCTCCGACCCTTTCGGTCAAATGGGAGCAACCCTGCAAGTGCATCTAAGAACCAAGTTGCCACCATTCCGAACGACCTGCTGCCCATCAATCCAGCCGCGCGTTGGTCTTTGCAGATTTTCTTGGAGGTTCTGCTTGGAAGGACATCGCAATGAACTGGTCACTTGGGAGTCCTGGTGTCCGGGTGTATTCGTGGATCTGTGTTCCTGCATGTCGGCTTTCTCTCCCGAATGCGTAGCAGAGGCGTTCGCCAAATGCGTCGCGTCCGCAAACGTCCGTGAGAGTCCGCTTTGCGTCAAGTCGCCAACGTTCGCAGGCGACAGTTGCCATGCCGTTGCGCTAGGCTCAGACTGCGCGACTTGGACTTGCCACGTGTTTTTTCTTCTTCTTTGTTTTCTCCATTGCGCCTTTGCGCGAATCGTAGCTGTTGTGAGGTTGCGTGTCATTTCGCTGCGCAGGCACAGTGTCTTGGATGGTTACGTGTTTATGTCGCCCTGCCATTTCGACTTGCGATTCGCAGGCGATCGTTTTGAGGTGTCTTGCTGGGAAGGCGCGTGCAAGCATTTGCGCAAGTTTTCTTTGGCCTGTCGTGCAAAAGGCTCGCTTTGGCAAGCTGAGCATTTGTCAAAATCGGTCGCACTAACCCACGCCGTTAAACGTGTCAAAGTTGGGCTTTGTGACAGGCGCAGCGCTTTGAGCGCGTTGTCCTTCATGTGAAGGTCATTGCATGGCAAGCGCAGCACTTTCGAGCGCTGTGGTAAAATTTCGTGGCAGGCGCAGCACTTTGGCTTGCAGGCAGGCGCAGCACTTTGGTGGCGCACCTCTCACCGGAGGCGTTGGTTTGCGGTGGCAGGCGCAGTATCTTGGAGGGTCCCGTGCAGATTTCGTTGCAGCCACAGCGCTTTGGAGCACATAGATAGACAGGCAGAGAGATAGAGAGATGGATAGAACGATGGATAGATAGATTGATTGATTGCACGGATAGGTGGGTAGGTAGGTAGGTAGCTAGGTAGATATCAGAGACACGTAGATAGAAAGATGGAAAGATCGAGTGACAGAGGCGTAGAGACTGGATGAGGTTCGTATAGATAGTTAGATAGGACAGATAGACAGTAAAATTAGACTAGATAGAGATTGATAGAGATCAGTTCAGTCTAGTTCAGAATGGATGAGTGTGCCCCGACTCCCCGACCTCACGATTCTGTGGCGGGGGTGACTAAATTCAGAAGCCCTTCGTAGTGCATGGGCGGAGCGCTGCGCGCTGAACAGCATAAAGGATGGCAGGGGCGCACACCCTTTGCAGTGGATGTCTTGCAAATACACCCCCTTCGCATGGCGCACGGCCCAAACTCGGAAGCCCCTTCGTAGCTAATCATTCAAATTGGTGGATGGTGCGATGACCCAATCCTTTGCAGTGGATGGCGCTACTGAATCCTCCTGTTTGATTCAAGGCTTGGCACCATCTTGCAATCTTGGCGGTAGAAAAGATGCATACAAATCCTAGCACTGCTAGGTTACGCGCTTTGCACTTTGAGCATATCTTGCAAGGCAGGAACTAAACCGCCTGCCAGGCGGGCGGCATCAAGAACCCCTTCGCCTGGAAGGAGGCGAGTGGTTCTCGAAGCATCACAGAAGCCAGCAAAAAGAACTCCAAATCACCCCAAATTCGAGGAGTTCCTGGAGAATTTCCTCCCGGTTTCTTCGGGAATCACCTTGGTGGGCACCAACCCGCAGTTTACTTTCTCAGGGTCCATTGAGTTGTTTCGCGCCCATTTCCGCCCGCAAAACGTTTCCGGGGTCGAGCTCACCCCTTCCACTTTTTCCAAAGAAAGGGTCGCGCAAGCTGTCCCCAACAGCAACCCCCGGAGTCGCTTGGGCAAAAGGTTTTTTGAGGTCCTTCCAGGCCTCGTAGCTCGCGGGTCCAACTTGGCGACATGTTTGTGTTTTCCTCAAGTGAATGCAATCGCCACGTCTAGCTGGGTTCAGATTTCGAGTCGAAGCCGGTATGGGAAACGAAAATCCCAAGTTCCATGAAGCCATGATAGTCTCAGGGAAGAAGGTATACTTGGACACTGAAAATGCTCGGATTCACGTCCCATCGTTTGTGAAGAACAGCCGGCTGCTCCCCACAAGTCAAGTTGTTCGCCAAAAGGGCCTATCTCCAACTTTCGAACCCAATAGTGGTTTTCCCCAGCACTCCCCAGCTGCTTCTTCCCATGTCCAAAATCCCAAGTCAAGAAAGCAGTGGAAACTCCGGTGCCTGGTCTCCTTTTGATTCTCTTAAGTTTCCCTTGAGCTCCGGAAAACGCAAAGAAAACAAACACACACACACACACACACCCTGACGTGCAGGCGCTGACCCCGCAGGCGGTATCCCCGGCCGTGTCTGCGCGGAACTCCCGCGCCGGGTCCGTTGCAGGCCGGGCCGTCAGACGGCCGTAACCCGGCTGCGGTCGCGTTCGGCCGTGGAATGTTTAACTGGCCTTTGAAGACGCCAGGTCTGAACAATTACTTTTGGGGGGTGGTTCCCTTTGTGGCATTTTTTGCCGTTCTCAGCATTACTTTTGTGGACCCTGGAGAGTAGATAACCACTGGGTATTTGGCAAACTTCCTCTGATGTACAATAGTCACCGCCATTCAGAGTAGCGAAGGGAATGATCCCAGTGTATTCGATAGGCAGGGATTCCGGCGCTGGACTCAACGGCTAAGGTCATGTGGGCAGCGGCCAATCATGAACAACTCTTGTTCTTGCAGGTTCTTCAGGAGAACCCTATGTGTTGGGGCAGAAAGCGTTTCTGGTTCCTGTGAATTTACTGCAATGCAGTGGTGAAGGACAATGACCTTGGGCACAGTCACCAAACTACTATAACGAAATGGGCGGTTACCCACCAAATCAACCATGACAGAGGGGGAACGCCACTTTCGTGGCGGCGAATTGGTTTGTTGTGTGATGTGAGGGAGGAACGGGGTGGGAGGACGCATTCTGCTGTCAGTGCTGCTTTGCTTTGCATGCTGGTCGAAAGAAGTGCATCAGATGACGTGGGAGCAGAAGCACTTCTCCTTGTCTGCGTGAGTAAAGGGGATGCCGGGGATGACTACACAAACACTGGGGAACGGAAACTGTGTCATCCTTTTTCACCCAGTGCATCAGCACCCTTCAAAAGCTCTCCAGCCGAGCATTTCGAGCGCTGTGCCCATCGAACCATCCCCCCATGAATATATATATATATATATATACATATATATATATATATATATGTATGTATGTATGTATGTATGTATGTATGTATGTATGTATGTATGTATGTATGTATGTATGTATGTATGTATGTAATGTATGTACGTACGAATGCTTTGCTTTTAACGAGCCGGCCAAGGACAGATTTCTCCCCCCAATCGTGGCATCATTTTGCTCTACGGCAGCCTGAAGCATTTGGGATGCTCCGTTGCAGCGATCCGAACCCATACTTTCCCCTTTGCTTGTTGCAGACATCACCTGGAAGGGTCGAAATTTCCTCTTGGGTGATGTTTAAAAGGGGAAATGTAGGGCACCCTGTCAACCCGAACATTCAACCCTAGCCTGGAAAAACCACCCCCAAGCCAGCTTGCCCCACATCAACAATCTGATCCTCCTCCGCCGACCCCAAGTGGCCGACGGCACTGACGAGAGACTTGATGTGCGGAATGTTCCAATACCTTTGCCCGATATCCTCTGGTCTCCGACAACCTGGATAGCAAAACAAACCTGTGTCAAATACCAACCAGCACCCCCCATCTGCTTTTTCCCATGTCCAAAATGCCAAGTGGTTGGGGGCTGCTGGAACATGTACCAACATCTAGAAACTTCCCCAACCTCGGCTTCCTACCCGGGAGGCTCCAATGCCAGCACCCCGCGGAATCCGCCGACGCCGCCCTTGTCACCCGCACCAGGCCAGGGTGAGGTTGCGGTTTGGAAGGACGTTGCCTCGTTGCCGTTGCTTCTATGCCCTTTGATCTGAAATGCAAAGGCGGTTTGTTTCAAGGTTAAGCGTGTGACTTTGCTGGACCTGGTAAAAGGCAAGCATCTTCTCACTTGTTCACGAGCCAGTTATGCAATACTCAAGTTGGCGTGCGTTGGTACGAGTGGTTTTTTCTCCAGGAATGACAGATGATTGGGCAATCAATTTGCATCTCATATTGAAATGTGTGCGTCAAGCAATGTTTGCTTATTAAGTTGGATGGGAGCATTTCAACGTATATGTCTGCAAAGCCCAGTTTGGGTGTGCACCAACGCCTGTGGCGACATTTCGAAAGTGTACAGAATGAATTCGAGAATTATAGCTACCTTTAAAGTTGTAGAACGCATGCGAGGGCGTTTTTTTTAGGTCCTAAAGCTTAAGCGGCGCGAACTAAACGGTGTGTACACGTGAAAACGGTTTGACCAAGTTTATGTATGGGACATTTGTGAGTTGGCCAAGCTGAACTTGGGCCGAAATACAGCTTGGGTTCTTACAACAGGGATAGGCGTCATCTCTGACCAGTTTCTTTTGCGCATTTTCTAGCCACGACCTTGTGGATTTTAAAGGGGCCACAGCTTTTCGATGTAAGATCCCGAGTTTCGATCTGTGGGGCACTCGGGTGCTTGGGAGACTGGCGGTTTACGCCAATGTGAAAGCAGGGTCCAGGGTGAATCTCGCCTTCCCTCTGATTTGTCACCGCAATCTCCCGTGCACGATGCAGACGTCTCCCTAAATCCACATGTTAGCTTTCACCGTGGCTGTGGTTTAGAAGCTTGCGTGTGTCTGGTCAAAACACAAACTCATATAGACTTCGGAAGTTCGGAGCGTTCTGAGCCCTTTCCATTCTTCTGGACATCGTGTGGATCTACAGCCCCATTGGACCGGCAGCTCTCGTCTTGATTCGGTGAGTCCTGGCGGACAACAAGCAGGAGGGCCACTTGTGCGGAGCTTTTGGAAGCCGACGTTGCTGGACCCCTTTATGTTTGGACCCTTATGTGGAGCCCACTCTTCACAATCCCGGCGACCGCGATGCCAGGGTCTGCTGGCGGATCCGCGCGAAGCGGTGGATCCGGCAGGACGGGGTCATAGCATGGCGCATACAACAGTGTTTGGCAGCTTCTGTTTGTGCACGGGGTTCCACTGGGAGAGGTTTCATTGTATCACCATTCGAACCAGGTGCTGGGTTCCCAATCTCACTTCCCTAGCTTCTAGACTTGCAGTCTGCTCAAGTGAACTACTGTGGATGGACAAATTCCTGTACTTACTCATCATTCCAGGGTTTCTTAGCCGGTGCACATACCTTCTCTTAAGATGCTCACTCAATGAGTTCCCGAACTTTAGCCATTTCTGAGGAGACCATTTTGGTGGTAAACATATCGTTTGAACTTTTTTTCGGGCCATCCACTCAGGAAGTGAGAATCTAGTTGTTGATAGGAGCGTTGGCTCCGGGCGCTACACGCCCACGCCGGCGGAGGCCGATCCGCCGACTTTGTCTTTTCTCTTTTTTTCGGCAGGGAATGCTTATAGATCCCTTCATCTTGCCCATGTGCTTAAGAGTGTTTGTTTAATGTTTCCCTGCTGGTTGTTAAGGGAATCTGTCACTACTGGACATATTTATATTTTTCAGGTGAGGTATTCGCAAATGGACCGTGGATTTGCCTGCGATTCTTTGCTTGGAGATGGTGACCTGGGTGTCTGCATTACACGTTCAGGGTGCTCAAAATGGCTTTGTGTCAATTGTGAGGATGTCATGGACAGCTGAAACATCGCCTTTCGGGCAGAAGGGGGAGGGATGTCCAGACCGGTTTTGGGGGGCAGAGGCCTGCAGGGAGGGGCAATGATGTGGTTTTGGTCTTTTGGGGCCACTTTTTTGGAAAGCACTTGGGCTTGCCCACTCTCTGGGGAGAACGTGGGTTGGTCGCTTCAAGGCCTTGCCTATGCCCAGGTGTGGCAGCGAGGGGGGTGTTGCAATCCGAAGCAGGGCGTAGGCCTAAAGTTGTGTACTTTGAAACCAAACGAAGTTATGATCGTGGCAACATGTTAGTACTTAGTTTGTCTCTAGTGTTACCCTGTCAGTCCAAGAGCGGGCAGGGCTTCTTACTAAGACTCACAGGGCTGAACATGTCAATCCTGAAGGGCCAGCCAGCTCTTTTTGAATCTGGTTGGTCGATCCTATCACAAAGCTAACCTGGCTTTTCAGGGATCAGCAAACGGGCAGGAAATTAATGGCCGTTTCAACCACAAGCAGGCAGCAAACGGGAAAGTTGTATTTTTCAATCACCAGCCAACTTTGATTTCTTTTTTGGAAGCTGGCTTGCTTGATGTTTCCTTTGGGGAGCCGATCACCAGCCGCGTGCTTGCGCCGAATCGAGCGACAGGCCTTTGTGTGCGGCAGTTACCCTGGGCCCTTCCCCGACTTGAGTGCAAGGCTGGTCTCTCTTTTGGAATTCAGCCGAGACGAGCTTCCGAAGGTAAAACGAGCTCGCCACTGTGAAGATCATTTAATTACTTGGGTATGTTTGTGTATGTGAGTTTGTCTGTCGGTGCGTGTGTGATTGTGTGTGTGGGTCTGTGTGTGTGGGTCTGTGTGTGTGAGTGTGTCTGTCTGTGTGTCTGCCTGTGTCTGTGGCTGTCGCTGTCTCTATCTCTGTTCTCTCTGTGTGTCTCTGTGTCTCTGTGTGTCCGTGTGCGTGTCTGTGTGTCTGTGACTGTCGCTGTCTCTGTCTTTGTCTCTGTGTGTGCGTGTGTGTTTGTGTCTCTGTGTGTGTGTGTGTGTGTGTCTGTGTGTGTCTGTGTGTCTCTGTGTGTCTGTCTGTCTCTGGCTCTGTGTCTGTCTCTGTCTCGGTCTTGTGTATGTGTGTGTGTGGTTGTGCGCGTCGGTGTGTCTGCGTATCTCCGTGTGTGTGTGTGTGTGCGTGTGTGTCTGTGTGCGTGTGTGTCTCTGTGTGTTTGTGTGTTTGTGTGTGTTTGTGTGTTTGTGTGTGTGTGTGTGCGCGTGTCTGTGCGTCTGTGAGTCTGTGAGTCTGTGAGTCTGTGAGTCTGTGAGTCTGTGAGTCTGTCTGTGAGTCTGTGATGATTTGTTGGGTTGTAGCTCACAGCCGCCATTAGCCGCCCAAGCAAATAGGATGGCTTTTGTGGGTTTTTGTCGTGGTTGGGGTGGGGCGGGGGGGCGGGTAGCTGCAAAGTTAAAGGAGGACCCCGGCTTGGACATTGGTGGCTTTGGCTAGCTCAAGTAATTACGCATGAGCTTCGCGCAGTTTTTCAAGGCTTCGATGATCATGGAACCCATCACGTGCCCATTTTTAGGAGCGGGACCTCCGATCCCCTTTTCGGATTGGGGACCCGTTCGTTTTGCCAATCCGAACCTGAGTTTTGACCTCCATTCGCGACTTGGTCAAAGAACAGGTTTCGGGTTGGAAAAACAGAGGCGTCCCCTTTTCGCAGTCCTTCCATTGATCATCGCGGGAGTGAAACGGGTGTGTATTTTTTGTGGCGTCCCACTTTGGGTTGGTTTAAACAGGAAGGGTGGACTTTCGGTTGGTTTTGACCGCCATTTCTGGGTTCCCTCC